CTCTCCAAAATGGCGCCAGGGTGACGCGGAGGAGACGAATTGTTGAATAAAGTTGTTATTTTTGTTATCTTCTGACACTAAAATGTATTCTCGTAGCTTCGTAAAATTACGGGTGAACCCCTGATGTCACATGGATTATTTTACCAGTCTCCTTGCTACGTTTCTGGACCTTGATCATGTAACGACCCTTGCTGTCTATGGGAGGGTCAGAGAGCTCTCAGAATTCTTCAAAAATATCTTAATTTGTGTTCCGAAGATGAACGGAGGTCATTTGAAGGGTCAGGTGGTGCACATCAGCAAAGACCACAAAGAGCCCAGCACACGCAGTCGCAAACTGGACCGGACGCCACATGAGGTCAGACACCTGTTCACAGATACTAGTTTCTTGGTTTCTCTAGCTTGGTTACTAGTTAATGTCTGTAATTTGGTTGAAACTAGTACATTAACCCTGTCTGAACACCCAAGGTTCATGCTCAGAATTCTTCAAAAATATCTTAATTTGTGTTCGTAAGACGAACGGAGGTCTTACGGGTTTAGAACAGCATGAGGGTGAGTAATTAATGACAGAATTTTCGTTTTTGGGTGAACTAACCCTTTGAGGTGTAACCAAATGTTCTGTGAAAACGTTTTTGTGCCATTCCCTCTGGCTGGGATTTTGGGACAAATTTGTTATCGTAGACATAACTAGCTAGGTTTCAGATGTCTTTACAGATGCCTTTACAAAGTCCTGATGGGCTATTTCAGAGTTTTTAGTCCTTTTCCCAGATTGAGGCTCATTCACTGCATTCCCAGTTTATTTGGGACAAGCCCGCTGTCCTTCACAACAAATAAAAGGAGGATTTTAGGGGGCAGGACCTGATTAAAAATGAATGAACTTCTTTCCTTTCACACACCTAGAAATAAAGAAAAGATCAGCTCGGGTAACCGGACACCGCGAGCCTTCAGAGTCAGCCATGTTTTATTAACGCCCTCAGATCCCCCTCTAGACAGGTAAACCAGCTATGTCTTAGTGTACTTATGGACCCTTTTACTTCTAAACAACACCAGTGGGTGTTCACACCGCTGCCTGACATCTCATCGTTCAGTCTTGCTCTAACGGCATGGTCCTTTTAGACTTTTCCAGACGGCTTGCTCAGCATCAGAAGGTCAGGAAATGCTGTGTTGTGGTGTACATGCACATGCTGGATGCATCGATTGGTGTGTGATATTATGTTTTAGGCAGATCAAACCAAAGTTAACTTGAGTTGAGGTACAAGCTATTTGGGTTAAAATGCATAGCTGGTGTCTGTTGCTTTAACTACCTTAAAGTACCTAGTTGCATTCTTCCAAAGAAAGACCTTAGATAGTTGTAGGCTTTTTGATTGTAAGGTGTTTTAATAGCTTTTTTTTCACTCGTTTATTGCATGTTCTTTGGCACCAGGTGTTTGTGGAGCTGAATGAGCTGATCATGGATAAAAACCAGGAGATGCAGTGGAGAGAAACGGCTCGCTGGATCAAGTTTGAAGAGGATGTGGAGGAGGAGACGGACCGCTGGGGGAAACCACACGTCGCCTCGCTGTCATTCCGCAGTCTGCTGGAGCTGAGAAAAACCATCTCTCATGGTGAGAACCTGGAGAAACCTGCAGAAAAGTCTGTTTTATAGTGAAGCGCTAATGTCAGGTTAGAGCCTTTTATTGCGATATCAGTGTTTGATTGCATAATTAATTGCAAAAGCACCACAGTGTCATGCTGCATGACGTGCTATGTTACTAAAAAAGCTTTAAACTACTATCTATCTATATATATATATATATATATATATATATATATAAATTACTATATTCATTGAGAGACTACAAAGAATATATCTGCCAAAAAATAATAGTACTATTTAAATATACTTTAAAAAAAGCTGAAAAGTTAGCAAAAATGTGGATTATGGATAAATTATGTAATTTTAAAATAAAAATTATGGGCAAAATATACAAAAAAAAAAAACTTCAGAGAAATGGTGGTTGGTCACAAAATGTAAAATATACACTTACCTAAATATACCTAAATAAATGTATTATACATGGGATTTTAACTTAAACTCTTAAAGTTGAAAATTTGATAAACATCCATATTATTTATCAACACTAAGTACAATGTTAATTGTTAAATGTATTTTGAACAAAGGTTAATTATTAGCGAACAGTAGTATATATTTATAAATTAACATTTACTGTACACAGATTAATAAATGCTGATGTAATATTTCTCCACTTTCAGTTTTCATTTTAATTTTGTAGCTTTTAATTATTTTTTTTTTTTAATATGACTACAGTTTTAATTTTTATTTTAGTTGTAGTTATTTTAAATATAGCAGCTAGCTGAAATAAAAAGGTTTTTTATATTTTGTTTACATGAATTTCGAATATAGAGATTTTATGGTTTTCGTTAACTATTATAACATGTTTTATTATATTGATTGCATTAATGATAATGAGGGCCTCATGTTTGATTCCTCTCATTAGGAGCTGTGCTTTTGGACTTGGACCAGAAGACTCTACCTGGCATCGCCCATCAGGTGGTGGAACAGATGATCATCTCTGATCAGATCAAAGCCGAGGACAGAGCCAATGTCCTCCGTGCTCTTCTACTCAAGCACAGGTAGAGCTCGGATATTTGTACAATAAAGAGTATCTTAAGAAATGGCATGTGATTTTGAGGTCTGAATCTGTTTACCCCACTTACGGTCTTTTATTCTCATATAATCTATTACTTTATATTCTACACCATTCGCCATACCACCACCCGTCCCTATGTAGATCCACACATGACCCTTCGCAGTCTCTCCTAGTGTCTCTTACCCACTGGCTCCCTTGCTCTCCCTCCCTTAGTCACCCGAGCGATGAGAAGGAGCACAGCTCCTCATTCCCCAGAAACATCTCAGCAGCCAGCCTGGGCTCTCTGATCACCCATCACCAGAGCAGCAGTAACCACCTGTCCCCAGTCCCCGAACTCTCCGTCACAGAGCCACTCATGGGGTCCACAAGGACCAGTCAAGACAGCTCACTTCACATTGACATTGAGAAGAACGAGGTAGTTGGTTGGAAGTGTCTAAGATGGATCATGTTTTAAATGAGAAGGGCAACATCTCTCTCTCTCTCTCTCTCTCTCTCTCTCTCTCTCTCTCTCTCTCTATCTATCTATCTATCTATCTATCTATCT